TTGGCATTTCATTCTACGTTCCTTAAATATTCACATTGCACGACCGACTTCAGAAGTTCACGTCTTGAAAATTGGAAGGAAGCTGATTAGATAACGGGCTGGGCAGTAGGTCCTCGAATCCAAGCAGGGGCAGGGAATTTGTCTGTTTCCTAACACATTCAGACCAACTGTGTGAGACCCACTGTTTCTGCGATCCAGTGGGTACCAGAGACTAGATCCCCTTGGTCAATGTGGTCGGAGTGCCTACTGAAGAAACAGAGTCAAGCACCTCTCGTGCACGGAACTCATATCATGCAACTACGACGTTTAGTATTTCATCCTACTATGGAAAATTACGAGATCGTTTATCCCCTTTATGCTGACACCACCATCACTTCTTTCCAAATCATTTCCAAATAATAAATCGTCAATAATCACACAATTCGAGCCTATACAGTCTTCATACTGAAATCCTAGTAAAATAAGGCACACACAAAATCATTTCATCCGTAGGTAATAAATATTCTTGATTGGTATTATGCGGCAAATTTTTTCAAGATACTCGTATTTTAGAAATCGAACTGGAAAAACAAATCGGCATTAGGTTTTCTAGGCTCGTCCGTGCCATATCTCAGGCAGCTAGTCGTCGGCTTCCCACCACGGCCGTTCGGGTTCGATCCCAGATCAGGTCATTGAGATTTGTGCTGGAAAGAGTAGCCATGGAGCAGATTTTCTCCGACTACTTGGGTCCCCCTGCCAAATCTCAATCCACGAACTGTCCCATACTCCGTCATCCGGGCTGGTACAATAGGCCCAACTGCGAGCGATGGACCCAGTGGACTCAGTGCAACCCACAACACACAATGTAGGCTCGTATCCTATAGGTAAGGTGAAGCTGTCCCTGTGCTTAACTAATAATGCACTACGCCACGAAGGCATATATGGGAGTGAATGTATAGGTCCATATTTTCTTCACTTCAGCAGTAGTTTGAGGTGAGTGACAAGCTTCACGTTCCGACCGCTTCACTCCTGAGGAAAGATCCCCCGGTATCCAATGGATAGGAGGCTGAGTGGACCCCAGTGCCGGTTTGGACGCTGTGGAGAATATAAAATTCTAGATCCTACAGAGACTCGAACACCGACGCCTCTGCCGTATCCTCTATGATATTCTAAAATTTTGATCATCACGATGTTCTCCCGTTTGGCGGTACTCATGGCGTTATTTTTGGCACATAAATCGTATCGGCAGTTGACTATACTCCCATCTTCAGGCAACTAGTTGTGAGTGTAATGACGAATATTCGGTTATTGGTTTCTATTACAAAGGCGAGGAGCAGCTAGGAATGCTTTCAATACTGCTTTCATGTAGGGGGAGACCCGGCTTCAGTTCCAGAGTAGCCCATGTGGGATTTATGGTGGACACAGTGAAACTGGGGCAGAATATTTCTTTAAGCACTCTGGGTTTCCTTTGCCAGTTAGAATTTCACCAACGGTTGGGGCCCGTAGGTTCATATAAGGCTATAGTGAAAATGGACTCAGTCTCACCCCGGTAAAATATATGTTGGGTCATGAAGGCGATCCTGATTAGTGATTAGTTTAGTTATTTAGAGAGGGTGGGTTTCCCCATGCACCGCGACCAGTTTCATCTATTGTGCTTCCCTCTATGATATTCTACCAGTCTCTATATCCTACCGATAAATGGTGCGTACCATCAGTTCCGCCGAGCAAGCGAGTTCGGCCACTTGCTTAGCGGTGTCTATAATGCTTCCCCCATCTATCAGAGGCCTTAGAGGCTACTGTTGGGCGGGAAACGTCCTGGAATTTG